ATTTATTGCACCATTTGTTTTCTGGACAATTTCTATGGAAATCTTGAATTGATTCCGATTTTTTATTGCCAGTACTATACTATAAGGTATAATCTAGATTTCCAGGAGTATATTCTTAGCATTGATCTCCAAGAATATGTGGGTCAACTGGGAACCATTAAAGGGACAATGGGGTTCATTCAAAGGGTCAGCTGAAAAAAAGTCATTCATATTTCTGGACCATTATATGATCCTTTAGGTTTCCAGGACTACATCATTGGTATTATTTAACCAAGCATGTGTGGGTCAACTGGAAGCCATTATAGGGCACATTTTTTGCTGAAAGCACATTCCTATGGACTAATTATTCAGTCCTTTAGGTTTCCAGGACTACATCCTTGGTATTGTTTAACCAAGCATGTGTGAGTCAACTGTAAACCATTTTGCTGAAAGAAAAACATCCATATTGGTGGACTAATAATTTAGTCCTGTAGGTTTCTAGGACTTTATCCATGGTATGATACAACCAGGATATAAGGGTCTACTAGATACCATTTAGGCTTACCGCCTGCTGTATTTATTCTGTATTATTTATAAATATTTCTTATACATATTTCTTGCTGTTTGTTTTAATTCTTGCATCTATTCTATTTATTATTGATATAAATAAATAATGATATATGTAAATTGGTAAAGATATTGATTAATAAAACTACTCCTAATCCAAGTCTAAAATTTATTAGTCTTACATTCTTTATAAATCTCAGATACTACCTAAGGATACTTAGTATTATTATATATATACATTATATTCAATATTCTGCATTAAAACTCTTTTAAATATAAATATATAAAACATTTCTTATTTACAATAGGTCTGTGCTACGTTGGGCACCACTGGCAGTTGCAGCTTTGACAATCTGGATGAGGTATGTGTAGAGGTAAATGCCTCTGTGTATAAACCTATCCATTTAATTGGGATTTCCCCACCCCTCAGGTGGGCATCGTGTGCCGCGAGTATAATTTGTGGCTGCACGTGGATGCGGCGTACGCGGGCAGCGCGTTCATCTGTCCGGAGTTTCGCACCTGGCTGCGCGGCATCGAGCGCGTCGATTCGATCGCCTTCAATCCCTCCAAGTGGCTGATGGTGCACTTCGATGCGACGGCGATGTGGGTGCGCGACAGCACCGCAGTGCATCGCACCTTCAATGTGGAGCCGTTGTATCTGCAGCACGAGAACTCCGGCGTGGCCGTCGACTTTATGCACTGGCAAATTCCGCTGAGTCGACGCTTTCGCGCGCTCAAGGTGTGGTTCGTGCTGCGCTCGTTTGGCATCAAGGGTCTGCAGCGTCACATACGCGAGGGCGTGCGTCTGGCGCAGAAATTCGAGGCGCTGGTGCTGGCCGATCATCGCTTCGAGCTGCCGGCCAAGCGGTATCTGGGGCTCGTGGTGTTCCGGATACGCGGCGAGAACGAGATCACCGAGCGGCTGCTGAAGCGCCTCAACTATCGCGGCAACCAGCACTGTGTGCCGTCCTCGCTGAAGGGCCAATACGTCATCCGGTTCACCATCACCTCGACACACACCACGCTGGACGACATTGTCAAGGACTGGATGGAGATCAAGCAGGTGGCCTCCCTGGTGCTCGACGAGATGAACATCACGATCTCGAATCGCGTCTATCTCAAGGGTAAACACTGGGCCCTACCAAACTACTGAATGTTCTCCCAGTTGTTGCATTATTTTGTTTTGCTTGTGTTTAATTTGATTTTAATTTAGTTTTTCATTGTTGTTTTTTTTTTTTTTTAAATATTGTTTAATGTTTATTGTTTGTTGTGTTTGACATAAAACCCTTTGATCCACCCAGATGACGTATTTTATTTTGCCACTCTTTCAGCAGGACCCAAAGTAATTATTATATTATATTATTTTGACATAGTTACCACAGAAAATCTATAAGATACAAAAGTATCTGAAGGTCAAGTGGAGCAAAAACTTAAAAAAAAATAGTTGAATTGGCTAAAGATTATTTTTTAAATTCACTGAGTAGGACATTAGATATAATCTGAAAAATCTGGTATCTTAGATCAATGCATTAGTGATTTATAATACGTGCAAAACTCAAGAAAAATCTCTGCTGTACTCAAATGTATATATAAGATACAAAAGTATCTAAAATTTAATGCCGCAATCAGTTGAACTCCATAAGTACGATTGAAAGCATTATAGTAAAGTCTATCAAGTCTGGTACTATAAGGAAATTATATACAACTTTTCAATTTAACGAAGAGCGTGTTAAGATTTGATCTACTTCAGTTAATATGATAATTTTTCTAAAAATAACTCTGGAATACTTAACGAAGTATTTCTAAAGATCTTTTCCACTTCAGCTATTATGATAATTTTTCTGCAAATAACTCTAGAATTAGTTAGACTATTTAATCAAATTCTCCCACCTCTTAGATACCAAAGAGAAGAGCGAAGCCTTTGGCTCCAGCCTGTTGCTATCGAATTCGCCGCTGTCGCCGAAGGTCGTAAACGGCTCCTTTGCGGCCATCTTCGATGCAGACGAGTTTCTGGCCAAGACCTATGCGGGCATACGCATAGCGGTAAGTAGAGCTGCTGCTCCTTAAATACGCCTGCACTCACATTCACTCTCGAGCCATGCTTGCAGCACCAGGAGTCGCCGTCGACGCGCCGTCGAGTGCGCGGCATACTCATGTCGGGCAAACAGTTCTCGCTGGACTCCCACATGGACGTGGCCGTGGTGCGCACCACCCTGGACCCGAACAATTGCGACGATGACGCAGCCGGGCACAGCGCCGGCCAGGCCGGGCAGGCGAGCATACGCGAGGATGTGGACAATGAGGAGTCCGCCGCGGAAGGTATGAAGCGCAGGTAGCGTAGTCAGCCAGTTTAGTTCTATTGCCAGTGCCAAATGCTCGATTTGCTTCCTAACCCGATTGAATCTGCTGCCGTCTCTTCTTTCTCTTCTTCTTCCTATTGATCTCTTGCCATTTCCGTTCAGAATCTGAGCTGCTGGAGCTGTGCCAGCGCAGCGGGAGCAACCAAACAAGCAACAATCCAATGCAGTCAAGCAGCTATAGCAACAATTCCAATTCCAATTCCAATGCCAATGCCAATCACAATCACAATGCCACGCCCGCCAATCACTTTCGTCCGATCGACCTGTATACGCCGCAGTGCGGCCAGCCCCTGAGCCTGATCATGGACAGCGCCGGTCATATGTACCATGGCAAGCGTTTTCTGGAGCCCGTCAGCAGCCTGATCGACAACAGTTCCTTTACCAGCAGCATCAATCACATGCCCACGCCCATAACGACGCCCCTCGCGACGCCCACGGAGGATAACGACTGGCCGGCGAAGACGTTCAGCCAGCTGCTGCTGGAACGCTATGCCAGCTCGTCGCCACGCTCCCCGGACGCCTCATCCACGGACAGCAGCAGCCTCAGCCTGGCCGCCGCCGTCACGCCCACGCTCAGTCGCCTCAGCAGCCTCAACGATCTGGCCTCCCCGCTGCTCGGCTCATTCGCATCACAATCGCAGCCGCTGCAGTCTGCATTGGGCGCATCTCGGTTCAGTGACTCGGATGCGACGATTTGCTCAGCTGCCTCATCGCTGGAGTCCTTATAAAGATAATCATTAACTATAATATAAATACTATATAAATATAATCATAGAAAAGAATATTGGAAAGAACAATCCTTCACTGCTGTGCAATCAATAATCGTAGTTACAATTCGCGTCTATATATACAAGTATCTATATCTGTATCTGTATCTATGTCGGAGAGCGGAGCCTAACTGTAGTCCCATGTATTATAAATGTATTGTCAAATGTTGCAAAGTTTAAATTCGATATTAGCCTACACTAACCATATATACAAATGCATATACAAATATTCCTATATAACAGCATTCTTCGTACTCCCTGCCTATATATTTAAATTCATGTATATTCTATATCTGTACATTTGTTTTACTCCTCAATGTGATTAAAAATTCAGCGTTAAAGTTAAACAAAAACTAATTCGTTTTCGAGTTTTCTGATTTGTATCTTAAAGATACATTTGGCACATAATGTTTCTGAATGATGATACAAAAACATGATGTATGATGTGAAATGGTATTTTCAACTACATATCGGTAAATATGGTACAATAGCTCTGTTTTGTGCGTAGCCTGCTAAAAGAAAGAAAGAGAGAGAGTGAGAATAAGATACACCACTGGAATAGAGAATCTGCATACTCACCATAATCACAACTAAGCTGAAACCAATTTCTGCCTGGATTGGGCAGGCCCAGGCAGCATGAATATAAAAGAGGAAAAGGGTAAAAAATTATAAATATCACAATAAAAATAAAGTTCGAAATTCTTTAAATTTTATAATTAAAGTTTTAAATTTAAATCATATATAGCTTCCTTTGTACTTGCAGGCCTTACAGTGCTCAGACTAGAAAAAAGACTACAGAACGAAATGAGATGAGAATCATAATATAAAAAGTTTATCCTTCATACCAATTCAGTAGCTGAGCTGTTTTTCGAGGAAATGCCTTACATACCTTAAACTTTTACACAATTATTAATTTAATAATTAATTATTAACAAAAGATAAAAAACGGAACTTGACAACTATAAATAGCTCGACCATGCATGCCTATGTATTCTAAAGAATTTTTGTTTGTTTTAATAATTAAATAAATATTAAACAAATACCAACAAATTAAAAGTATTATCAAAATTAAAACGAAAAAAAAACTTATTATTGAATAATCCAATTTATAATTCAATTAATTTTCAATCAAGCACCCGCCATTTCAATCACCAAAGTATCCATCCAAGCCGTTTCGAGCTTGGCAAACAAAATAATAAATATAATTCTTGTAGTAAATTAAAAGCACATTGGATATTCAATAGTAACTAAATGAATAATTTGTGAGCTTTAATTATTTTTATAGCTTTTCAAGTTGATAACAATTTGTACGATGGACTAAATGTAGCTAAGGCAAGCTAAGTGGACAACGTGGAGCACATTGTTAGATAAAGCGGTATGTTTCTGGAGCTGGCCCTGGAGCTGGCCCTGGAGCTGCCGGAGGAGTAGTCACTGTTGTTGGCGCTGCTGTTGTTTGTTCTTCCTTCCTGACAAGCGGAAATCGAACTTGCACATAGAATGTTAGCAAGAACAAGACAATAAAATCGTAGAAGAGTATTATGGAAGCAAGTAGATAATCGTTCACCCTCAACTCCGCAAATCGTCCGCCGTTAATGGTCTGAGCGTGATACATGACAAACTGCAGAAGAGAGAGAGAGATGGAGAGTGAGAAAGAGATAGAAGATAGATAATCTAACACTTACCGTCAGAATTATAACGCTGACGAATATCTGGTACAGGATGATCGAATGCGATGAACGGGTCATTATATGCAACATGATCAGAAATATGGACACAATTAAGAAGATAAATGATATGACAAATAATATGACGACATCAAGGGTCAGATCATGCTGATGAAAGGTAAAAAAAAAAAATTAGAAGGTAAAAAAGATTTGTTTTTTTTTTTTTGTTTACTTACCGGCAGAATCGAACCCACTAGTATGGCAAGGAAGAAGATAAGGAGACATATCAAATACCATAAGAGTAGTTCCGGCCAACCCGATCGGGCGCACAGCGCAAATACTCCCACAATTGCGAATTCCATCTAATAGATCCAATTGTATACATATACATATGCAATACAAAATACATATAGACGAAATGTACTCACAATTAAAATGGTCATGATCCAATTCAGAGCGATTATGGTACGAACTTTCTCCACAAATACAAAGATGATGGCTAGTATTACCGAAAGCGTAAAGAATATTCCACTGATAAATTCATAATCCCTAAATACATCGCCAAAGCCCGCTCTGCAATGGGTAAACACACATATACATACACATTGATTAGTCAAGACTTCTCTGTCCGCTTACAAAAATGCAACAGCCAGCCATTGAGCCAGACCCAGCAGGAGTGCGACAAGGGTCATCAGATAAACTATTGCCACGAACTTTCGTCGGGCTTTTTCAGTGTTTCCAGCGTTATCCCCCATTTTTGTGAATAGATTCTCCTCTCCTAAACATATACAAAGAATTTATGCGCGCCTATATAAAAATACACCCAAAACAAAAAAAGGGGCAGAAAGTAAAATTAAACGAATATTATGAATTGCTATGCTCAATGTCACTTAAGTCTAGGCATATTTGATTCCCTTGCAAAGCGATCTAAACAACAAAACAGTGTGGGAATAATTTTAAGGAGGTGAATACAAAGGTGCTTTTGGGAGGTTTCAGAGGATGATATACCTTCATATATGAATGAAGCTGTTTTTTAGAAGTTGTTCATACAGAGATCATATATAGATACTTATATGCTAATATTCCTGGAACAAATAGAGCTAGCTCAATGCAGACTTATATTCTTACAGACATTAAAAGGCGTGGTAGATAGAGTGTCTCAAATGATAGATAGGGATCTCTTCAGGTTCGACTGCTGACAATTTTGTATATGTTGGTATAGCTCAACATTTCAAGTATTTGGGGTATATCGTAGTCGGGCACTCGCCATTACAACTTTCTAACTCCTTGACCCCAGCCAGAGTTGGCGTTTTCTTAGTTGTTTATATTTTGAATTTTCTCGTTGGCGTTGAACTTTACTAAAATTGGATAGTTGCTTTCAAATAAAAAAAAAAAAAATTAAAATTAAAATATAATCCACAAATGGAGATCAGTGATAGTGCAGTTAAGCTATCTGTCAAAAAAAAGCTGAAAAAAACGTACATTGTGACGATATTGATGCTGTTACTCGGCCAATTTCAGGTCATTATCGTAATGGAGATGTGAGCGAGAGAACTGTTAGTCCAATCAAACTTTCCGCCGGATTCTAATTCCATGTTACGTCTCTCCCGCAGAGAGCCACTGAAAAAGTTTCTCATGAAGCATTACTATGTGAGCTTGCTGCATTTTTTTGTCAGCTTCATATCGATACAGCTGTACGTGTTCTTCTATCACATTCTGGAGCGAAAGGCGAAATGGAAGCGTTTCGTGGCCGGAATCTGGACGGTAAGCAAAAGAGTGAGAGGGGAGGTTAAAGAGATAGGAGTGTGAGTTGGAATAGAGACGTGATTAACACTTGGCTATACTAATTCTTTTCGTTCTCTCTCTCTCTCTGTCTCTCTCTCCCTCTTTTCTTTCTCCAATGCTATAGTACGAAGTAAACACCATTTCGATAATGAAGCCCGCTAAAAAAGCTCCCTATATTTGCCTCATCACATCCTGGGTGCTCACCTTCATAGTCATGGCCATCAGTGTGTTCTACGGCAATTGTGCTATCAAGCATAAACGTGGACTCTTCGTAACTACATCCGAGTATCTCTATATGTTAATACCATGCTGATATCCCCCATTTTCGCAGGTGTCACGCCACAATGTGATACGCTGGAGCGAGCGCATCTATGTGCTGACATGCTTTGGCATCATCATCTGTGCAGAAATGAAGCGCATCACTATTGAGTTTCCGGCGCTCCTTATCTATACCATCATATCAAATATTGTAAGTGCCAGATCATACTATAAGCTTTATCTTATCTAAAACTATGTTTCAAGTTGATTCAAATTTGGCTAGTGTTATTTGGTATTTTGACAATCCTTATACTGTATTCTCCTATCTCTGTTGCAGTTTGTTATTATATTTGCTGCCTCGATACGAAAGCCGAAATTTTATCAAGTTGACGAGATCGCCGATCATATACTCATTGGACAGCTGTACTATCTGAACTTCTTTGCCCTGTACATGAGCTATGTGTGGACGACGGCAGCTGGCATTGAGTTGGCCAAATTGGATCTAGAGTTCTGACTAGTTGGCAGTGTTGCCATTTCCACATTGTTGCAGCGCATGCGCCTCCAAAGGGTCTCGGCAACAGCTGTTGCACAAACACGCCCACACACACACACGTACGCACGCACGCACTAACTTTGCTTCCATTTGGTTCAGGTACGACGTTGTAAATGCAAATCGGAAACGTTTTGTTGACTGGTGCTGATTGCATTGGTTTTTCCTCCTAGAGGACGGAGGATTCATCAAAATCCTCGCAGTTCGTTTTAAATAGCTTTGTGCATCAGTTTTTCCGGTTGTTACGCATTTGCAACTCGATTGTTACAGGATTTTTTCTCGTTCTCGTCCGCGTTTCAGTGTGCTTTGGGCTCGTCCTTGTCGTAGTTTTTCGTTGCTTAAAATCGATAACAACAAAAAATGAAACATAGAAACGGTTTTCAGTGCAGCGCGCACAAATAACCAAGTAAAATATTTGTTACAAAGATTCTGTTGATTGAATATGTAAATATTATTTCACGTCAAATTGTGTACAAAATGTTCGCGCGATTCATTCAAGCAAATTTCTGTCGCACACACGAGTACAATAACAACGAAATTATATCAAATACATGCCATTTCATATAGAAGTGTAATTACAAATATATAAATATATATATAAATTTATGTGTATAAGTGTATAATAGATCTATACAGATATATATATATCCATAAATATATATAATAGCCATAGAAAAAGTGTGATTGTGTGCGTGTGATGGTGTATGTGTGTGCGTGTGTGTGTGACTATAAGTTATAAACAATTTTTTCTTTTCGTTTTGTAATACATGTGCTAAGTGCCTTAGTCTTAACTAGGCTAAACGTGTTAACAGTTAACATTCAATTTGACTGCTTTATGGATAAAGGAAAACTAATACACACACACACACATACACAGGCACACGCAAACACCTGTGCGTTGTTGTTGTTGTTACATAAATTTGTTACAATACATATGTGTGAATCGTTTTTTTTTTTACATTTAGGATTAAAGTGTATATAAATAACAATCTGTGTTAAGTGTTTTATGTTGGTTGCATTCTTTTTTTTTTTTGTAATTTTTGTTTTTTTGTTTTAGACACAGTTTTCATTGTGTTAAATTGAATTGAATTGTTGCGCTTAAGGCCAATGCGAAGAAGGCAGCAGCAATTCCTCTAACAGAAATTGCCACACAGTTGCTGTTCGTTGTCTTCGATTCCAGGTTGCTTCTGCTTGTTGGGACTCCATCTAATGGGGTGCCTCGCTTACGGATTTTGTGGCGTGATCGCTGCTGCTGCTGCTGCCGGAGGGCAAAGCGCACACTGTAAAAATTTCAGGCAAAAGAAACGGGTTGATTAGGGCATAGAACTTCCAGTTAGCCATTGAGCTGCTGCTGCTGCTGCTGCTGCTGCTACTACTGTTGTCTCCGCTTACATTCTCACACAAAGTGTATTTATATTTACAGTTACAGTTACAGTTATGCTGGGCAAAGTCCATCATAGCTCTTAAAATTAACTACACACGATCGTTTAGCAAATCTAGGCAAATAAAGAACTAATTAGCACATGGAGCGCACGCAACGAATTGTTTTACCTTTTTTGCTTAGACTAAAATTTTGTTCTACACACACACACATATATAGGGATGAGCTGTGTGTGTGTACATGTATATGTGTTTCTAAATACGTGTGGCTGATGTTGATAGCTGCGTATGTATTGGGATAAGCGCAACAAGTTGCCTTGCTGCATATTATTTTTTTGCTTTTACTTTTTCTTTTGTTTATCAATTGTAAATCGACACTGCAAGTAAATAAAAGTGGAACATTGTTGATAAGTTGGCATTCGATGGGGGTTAGTTGTGTGCCGTATAGTGCAAGCGTCGGTTAAATCGAGTGAAATTTATAAATATATAACTTCCACCATCAGCCAGACAGACAAGCGTTAAATAGAGAGGAACAGAGTTATATCTCTTGAGCACTCGGCTCACAGACAGGTGACAAATGTGTGATAAGAGCAATTCATAGCCAATTCCAGAGGTAAGTGCATAGCATTTATACTATATTATAAAATATCTATCTTTAGGGATATAGTATTATGAAGTATAGTTAAGAGTTTTGGACTGCATTTGACTTTTAGTCCTCTACTGTGATTCTGGGGCAAAGCAACTTCTTATCAAGACTGTATATATAATAAATGTACATTAGCTCGCTTGATATGATACTTCTAATCATTATATATATATGTGTTTGCATATAAACAAATTATCATATACATTTTGATATCAGAGAACTTTACTACTCTACCCATTATAAGTCTCTGTCTATATATAAATCTTTCAGGAATTATTTTAAATATATTCATTTCGATATCGAGCTCAACCTCTAACCAATTAAAGAATATCTGTCGGTTTATATACAAATTCTTCATAAGTTTCGGCATATAAAAATATATACATTATTGTCTCTAAGCGAACTCTACTTCAAGACATGTTTCCCTCTCTATATACAAATTCTTCACAAATTATTAAGCAATGTGTGGGTGATAACAGTTATGTGCTTATGTATGCATGTACACTTAATATACAACTTATCTCTAAATCTAAGTAAAATGCAGGCATAAGCTGTTGGTTAGCTTAAAGCTATTGCAAGCGTACATAAAACCTTTCCATTTAACTTAATATTAGAGTACAGATTAAATACACTTATACAGAGATATGAAGCATTATTACAAAGCCGCTCAAAGCCAATTAGTTTTTTTTTAAGCAGTAGATTATATAGCATTGTGTGCAAAGCATAAGCATGCGATTTCAGATAATTTTAGCTCGATAGGTCTTACCTATTATAATGATCAGCAAGACGACGGCAATGACGCCGAGAATGATCATCATCTTCATGTTGGCCCACCATTGTTTGCGCTTCAGTTTGCCCGCCTGCTGTTCGAACTGTGAGGCACCCTGTTCTAGCTGATCGGCTCGCTCGCCCAGCTCCGATAGCTTCTGATCACGTTCGAGCACCTTCTCGACATTGACGCGCATTATGCCCACCACTTCGTCCACTTTGGCCTGTGTCTGCTGCAGGCGTTTCTGTGCGGCATTGTTGTTGCTGTTGGCCGGGTCGTTGTAGATGTTGTAGTTGGGTGACGACGCATTCGGCGGCGGCGGAAGTATGGGAAAACTGTATAATATTATATATGTGGTGGCAGGCGGAGCAATATTGCGATTAAGTGCCACGCACGAATGCCATGCCCAGACGATTCGATTGGAATGCATTCACCATAATTGAATGCTATGACATCAGAGCTTCGAAGTCGGTTTAGAGGGTCTGGCATTTGTGCGTTGCGCCTCTCAATTTCTATTACGATTTCAATTGTCCATGCTGGGGCTCGACTAGCTCTAGATCCAGCTTTTGGACGGTTTACTTACTCATTGTTGTTGGAACCGGAAGGTGCGGGCGCCTCGTTATTCTCCATCTTTGTGCTTGCTTAAAATGTGCTTTCTGCGCTGCAAAATAACGAATAGTGAGCAAAAATTAAACAGAGCATTCTTTGTTTAAAATTGAGAGCATTGTTATCGATTGATTGACTACTATATACCCTACCTAATTGGTGAATTGCTTAATTAGCTGTAGAAACTACTACTACATTACATTCTCCCAGTCTGAGTCAGATAGAAAAAATTCAATTCATGTAAGGAAATGAGAAAGCGACACAGATTGGAATAGAGTCTATGGTGATTCAAGGTATTCCAGCTGAATACAAGCTAAATCGAATTTTTTAGAATGTAAATAGATTTATTGGAAATTTTATAAAAGAATAGATTCTCTATTGTTTGTATTTACATATGCTGAGCGACAACTGCGTTTATATTATATATAAGAATATGACGAGAGTTAGTTCCAACTAAAAGGTCTAAGAGTTCGATGCGCTTAATTAGTTATACTCTACATATATGGGCGAATATAGAGATAGCCGCTTCAGCTCGAACACATATTTAATGGTATAGGCAAGTAAATAAAATGCAAAATTAATAACCATACAACCCATTTATAAAGGGGCACAGTGTATATTAATATATTGTATAGATTGAGAATTTTTCTCGATTCTCAAGATACGAATCAATTAATTGCTGTGAGCGCAGGCATACACAATCACTTATATGCACACATACACACACTCTCATATTCATATACACGCACGCACATCAAGAGTTGCACACACTTAAAATCTGCGATTAACAAAGTTAAACACACACACATACACAAGCACCGAGTCACAATATATGTACACAAACACAAAACTACATTGACAAGTAGAAGTACATCTTATCTCTGCAATATTTTGTCCAGTACGAAATGAATCATAGAATTTCCGAACTTGGGCTAGCACAGAAATAGTGATGAGCGACAAATGCCCAAAACGCTGCTTGGTCACACTGCTGAGAACTGTTTATTGCTTACAATAAAAATTATAGTATCAAATATTGGAGTTGATGGCGCTTCAACTGTTAATTTGACTTGAATGCTTTCACTGCATTAACCATTAAGCTGACCCACTGAACCGTGACTCTTCACACTGACGCACCAAACAGTGACAGAAGTGCCAGCTCTAGGAGCACCAAAAAAAACTTGTTGCTCGTCCAATTTTTCGCAGCCGCCTGCCAACGCACAATATTTACATTGCGCTGTCGGCCTCGCCCTATTTAACCCAAGTACACTCACCTGGAATATGTTTCTGATACGTTCGTACAGCTGCTTCTGGTCCGTTTGCAAGTTTTATGTTTCTCGGATTATAATTTTCTTTTGATTTTGATTAATGAAAAATCAGTAAGGCAACTTTGTGTTTTGCTTGACAACTTTTACAGGCTGTTAATGAAAAAATGGTGCCTGTTGCTGGTTGGCGAACAGAAATGTAATCAACAGTGCGTTCGCAGCCGACGCATTTTTGAGCAGTCGTAACAGGGCTTGTAAATAGCAGCACTGTTATGAATAACAGTGCGCTGAGCGCAGACGCAATTTTGAGTAGTTTTTTGACAGTCTGGCAGCACTATCATCATTTAATTGGCGAATTATTTGAATTTTATAAATATTTCAGCAATGGTTGCCAAATATAACATGGAAAATGCATAACTCACTGGCCTCCAAGTTGCTAGTGCGACTACTGTTGCTTTTTGCGCTGGTAACTGTCATTTCGATTGTGATCCTATCAAAGTGGGGCTTCGATGAGCTGACTGCGCAGACGGACAAAGACTCGCCGCCCAATCCCAGCGAGACAAATGGTTATAGCTACGCACTGAGCTCGCGGGATGCGGAAATAGAGCGTCTCAAGCACGAGGTGCTCACGCTACGTGCTCAGCTGGTGCTGCTGCAGAGCAATCGTAGCAACAATGGATTGCCAGGCCGGTTGCCTTTGCAGGGTAGTGGTTACTTCTCCTCCTCCGTCTCCGCCTCGTCCTCTGCCAGCAACAGCAGCAGCAGCAACAATAGCAACTCGCATCTGCATCAATCAGACACCACAATCGCCTCTCTAACGCACCACTATGACTGTAGCAGCTATATACGCAAACAGGTGGGCGCCGCTGAGATATTGCACGGGCTGCCTCTCAACAATGAGTACGAGATGATTCCCTTCAATCATTTCACCTTCACGCGCGTCTATCCCATCGATCTGGGGCTGGGCAAACGTGTCGTAGAGAAGCCCATTGGGTATAGGCGTCGCGATCTCTTGGAGGCTGTCAACAAGGCACTCGAGAGCCTCAATCGCAATCACACGGCGCGTGCCAGAGCCAAAGGACTCGCAGTCAGCGAACTGGGCCGTTACACGCTGGATGACTTTGTCGAAGGCATCTACCGCACGGAGCCCACGACGGGCAGCCAGTACGAGCTGTACTTCCAGAGCGTCAAGCATCAGACAACTCTCGTGCGCAAAGCGCTCATCATGCGGCCCTTTGCTCCGCTGCAGACGGTGCAGCTGTCCGAGGTGCCCGCCAGTCCCATTATACATGTCATCGTGCCACTCGCTGGACGCCTGCGCAGCTTTCGCAGCTTTGTGCAGATGCTGAACAAACTGGCGGATCAGCGACTGCACCTCGTAGTCGTCTACTTTGGCGAGGCGGGTCTTAAGGAGGCGCAGCTTATTGCAGGCGGTGCTAAGCGCGTGCAGCTCGTGGCCTTGAACGAGACATTCAGCAGGGGTGAGCGAAAGCTGTATGGATCTCTCTTAGACAATCCACTCATTACTCTCTTTTCAGCCAAGGCCTTGAGACTGGGCGCCGAGCACATTCAGCCGCAGGCAGCAAAGGCAATGCAGCAGGATGCGCTGCTCTTCATGTGCGATGTGGACATTGTGTTTACAGCCAAATTTCTGGAACGCTGTCGCTGGAACACGGCGCCCGGCAAGAAGGTGAGCAGAAGTAGAGAATGCAGTAGAAAGAGAATTTCCCTAACTAGTTTCCACTTGAAGGTCTACTATCCCGTGGTATTTAGCCTCTACAATCCGCACGTTGTCTACACGCTGCAAGGCAAAGCGCTGCCCAGCGAGGACGAGCAGCTGGTCATCTCCAGGGATACGGGCTTCTGGCGTGACTTTGGCTACGGCATGACCTGCCAATATCGCTCGGATTTCCTACAAATTCGCGGCTTTGACGAGGAAATCGTTGGCTGGGGCGGAGAGGATGTGATGCTCTATCGCAAATACGTTCGATCGAAAATTAAGATCGTAAGGGCCACAGATCCGGGCATCTTTCATCGCTGGCACACAAAGGTGAGTCGCATGGCCTAGCCCCCTGGCCAAACCAATGCCTATTGATGTTTGTTATTTGCTCTTGCAGATCTGCACGGGTTCGCTGAGCGCGGATCAGTATCGCGCCTGCATACGTTCGCGTGCATTGAACGAGGCATCGCATGCCCAGTTGGGTTTTCTGGCCTTTCAGGACGAGATTGCCGCGGCGATGGCCCACTCGTGATATCCTTAAGGGCACTACAGGCCTCTGCTTACAATATAGTTAGCCACAAAGTGACAATAACTTGTATTTAGCCAATCGTTGAACTAGCATAATTGTTGAATCTGTTTCTTAGATGCCTAGACAATTAACTAATACTTAAACTTAACTTTACTCTGTAAACGTCTGCGTAATCGTATGACAAATTGTTCTTCCATGAAGCAAACTAGATGCAATCTTAAACAAAAACAACAACAACAACAAAACACAAACAAACGAGAAATACAAACCAAACATATTTAGCATATTGTATCATATACCTATATATATATATATATACATACATATATAAACTGCGTCTGCTCGCATTAGATAAACAAAATTAAATCGTTTAATTAAACTTGTCGCCGTTGTAAATTTTATAGATGCGCGGACTTATGCGAGTTGAGCTGAGCTGAGTGAATGCCAACGACCTCCATTTGGGGTTCAGTGCACATGCAGACGACGTAGCAGATGAAGAAGCAGAAGCAGAAGATGACGTCGCCAAACAGCCACAGGAGCAGCTGTGGGCTTTTATTTCACTCTAGCGTAAAGTTCAAATGATATTTTTACTAGACTCGTAATGCTGCTCTAGCCGAGAGCATTCCAGCTAACACAAACTCTTTGTTGAGCTTAGACATGTTGAGTCTTTTATGTGGATTATTTTTGTAGAATCTTTGCTATGCGATTCTCATAAGCTTATATAGACATATCTATCTATGATTATTTTTTGTGTAAGCTGAGGCAGTCTGAAAATGTTAGATAAATGAAGAAAATTATGAGAAATAAATATTGATTTATTTACATAAAATATATGCATAAAATATATGCATTGATTTATTTACATAAAATAAATGCATAATATTTAATATTATTACTTCGTTAATTCTTATTTTTCAGGTTTCTTTCTGTCTTTGTGCATCTCTTTGGTATTATCTTTTCTTCTCTGTTAACTTCCACTCCCTCTAATGCCAACTCGTTAAGCTCATCTCACATTCCTCTCTCAAATCTCATCCCTCTATGCAATTCTCATTACTTTACGATTATTTCTTCATTATTCATGATCATAAGAGCATGCAGCAGTGTCATCTGTAGATCTCCTACATATATTAAGTGATTCCATCCGGTGGTCTTGTTAAGCTTTGTGCTCAAACCCTTTTCATGGTCACGGTCTTGGGTTATGTAAGAGCCGAAAAATGAATTTGATTCAAGCGCAATTAGCAAATGCTAATTTCACGCCTTTAATCCAAGATTTATCCAGTCGATGTGAGTCAGAGACTTGGAAGGAATTCGCGATGCCCATTACGCAATGCACGAGAAACAGCAACGAGGTGTATTAATTAGCCGCCAAAAAATAATGACAGCTTGGTAGGTAGGTGGGTGCGCAACAAAACATCCTCCTGTCATTCTACGAATGCCAAACTGACCATGAAAACCACGAAAACTGATTCACAATACCGACTTTGTGTTGATTCCCATTCAGGCTGGCTTTTGGCCCGCACCCAAGGTGTTGTTGCAGGTGAAGTGACAAAACGGCGCCACAGCCACACTCACACACACACACACACACACACACACTCGTACAGCCACAGCCACAGCCCCAGCTCCAACGAAATGCCAACACCTCAACCACGAATACCAGAGCTTATTTAGATCTACATAGAGCATAGGCCCCGCCACCCGCCAGCTCCACATCGCGCTTCAGTGCGTCTCTCTGTGTGAGTTTTTCGAGTTCGGTTTCGGCTTTGGTTCTAGCTCCAGCGAATTTCACATAAATACCCGTGCCACAGGGCTGAGCAGCACATTCGTGTTTTCAATTCTGTTGCCAGCGACACGTTAAGCAAACACACACACACACACACAAATATAAATCAACGACAGCGCGCCAAGGATTTGGGAGCCCAGCTCTCTGAAGTTTTTAGTACAACACGTGGCTAAGTCAATAGAAAAACATTTGTGCAAGTGATAAAGTGAGCCAAAAATAAATATACAAACAAAATGCATGTGCTGCAATTGGTGAGTTATGAAATATTTGGGAAATATTCAAACTAAACTTGTGAATTAAAACAGTCTACAAATATTTACAATTTATGACTACAAAAATAAGTAAAATATTTATAAAATTTATAAATGATCCACCAAAGTTGTTAGTCCTTGAGCATCAATATTACAGCATTATAAAAAATATGTATGTATAAATATTACAAAATTAAATACAAAATAATTCAAATATGCATTTACATATTTAAAAAAAATTCTTATTGTCCGTAATAATTATTAAATATCCAAGAATTTTTATATGTATATTTTTTTTATTAATTTATTTTATTCATAATAATTGTTATTATATTTTTAAATATACAAGCAAGGCATAGACATTTACCACATATTTTTAAATAATTAAATTAGTTTACGTTTGTTGTTTTTTTTTTTCCTTTTGTCACAAGTCGATCTAAATAGTAGAAATTTTTAGATGAATTATGGACATCAGAGACAAGTTTTATATTTATTCATTTTATTTGCTTTTAGAATTTCTAACTTAGATTTATCAGAGTAGTATGCAAATTATGAATTTGAATTAATTTGTGATGTGAAAGAGATATTTTTATGGGCATGCCAAGTAGAATTTTTTATACAAGCGGCGAGTGACATGAAAATTATAAAATATAATTTATACACAGCCAGACATAGAAAGAAAACACATTTAACAGTTTTTTAATTAACGATCGAGATAAATAGTAATAGAAATTAAGAAACCAAATGAAATGGATCATTTTTATGCCTTGAACCCATTGAAAGTCACAAATCATGTAAAAATTTAAAATAAATAGCTAAAAAAAACTATACTGAACTTATTTAGCACTATAGATCGAAACAAGTAAATCAGCTCAGGTAAACCGCTAAAGATGCAACT